TGGCTCAGTGGTAGAGCGCTTGCCTTGCATGCATGAGGCCCTGAGTTCGATTCCTCAGCACCACATAAGCAAAAAGAAAAAAGCTGGAAGTGGCGCTATGGCTCAAGTGGTAGAGTGCTAGCCTTGAGCTGAAGAGCTGAGGGACAGTGCCTAAGCCCAGAGTTCAGGCCCCACAACCGGACCCAAAAAAATTAAAAAATTAAAAAAAAAAGAAAATCTCATAAACTTTCCTGTCTGGGCTAGATTTGAACCACAAACCTCAGATCTCAAATCCTGGGTAGTTAGGATTAGAACTGTGAGCCACTGGAGCCTGGCTGTCATTCCCATTTCTGTCATGTAGCCATGTGTCTGAACACCCTATACCATCAGAGTGCCTGCTGGTTGAATGAATAAACCTTCAACTTCAGAGGGTGATCATCACAAGTGAACCTATTCCTGATCCTGACAGAAGGGAGCATTCCTAGAGCACTCACGGGAACTAAAACCCTGTCTGTGTTTTAACTCCCTAAAAAATTAAATTTTAAGCCTGCAACAGCGGCTCACCTCTATAATCCTATCTACTAAGGAGGCTCAGATCTGAGGATTACAGTTCAAAGCCAGCCCAGGCAAAAAAGTGTGAGATTCTTATCTCCAATCAACCACCAGAAAACCAGAAGTGGCACTGTGGCTCAAGTGGTAGAGTGATCACCTTGAGCTGAAAAGCTGAGGGACAGCGCCCAGGCCCATAGTTCAAGCCCCATCACCAAACAAAAAAATTAAATTTTATCTTATTTGTATGTACTGGTACTGGGACTTGAACTCAAAGCCTTGTACTCTTGCTTGGCTGATGAGGATGAGGAGGATGCCATACAAAAATGTGAGCCACACCTCTACCTTCAGCTTGGAGATCAGAGTCCCATGGTCTTTTCTGCCTGGGCTGACTTTGAACTAGATCTACAGATCTCAGCCTCCTGAGTAGAAAGAATTATGGGCATGGTCCACCAGCCTAAGGCATGATCCCCCAGCCTAGGGACATTTTATTTGTCATAACTGAAGGAGAGAATGCTCCTGACAGTCACTCCTGGGTAGAAACCAGAGATGCTGCCTAACATCTACAGTGCACAGGAACAATAAGTATTCTTTGACCTAAAATATCAATAGTGCCCTAGTTGAGAAGCCAGTTCAAAATGAGGACTGAACTCCAAGTGAGCTGAGAGCCAGTTGTCTAGTGCCGGATGAGGAAGGCAGGGCAGCACAGAGGCACAGGCTAGCCGCAGGTAAGGCTCTCAACTGGAAGGAAGGGCCAGGAAGACACAGGACAGGAACCAAGCCTAGAAGATGCATTATTAGGAAAGGTGGGTAGCATGATGCCAGTGGTGCACAGAGCATGCTCACGGCAAAGTGATCCCACCCAGGGCCCCCTTACACGCTGCTTGCTGGGTCACACATGACTACGGTTCACAGCCACGTGTCCCCGAGGTGACTTGTGTGAGCACAGAATTGCCTTGGATGACTGCAACAGAGTTCATGTCCAAAAATTGCTTCCTCTTTCCATTCAAGTTCAACATAAACTCCAGGTCCTTTGGCTAGGTTTCAGAGACAATTCAGAAAAATCATTATCCTGTCTTTGGGGACCTGCAATGGGACAGAGACAGGGATGTCACTGAGGCCTGAAAATTGGCCTTGAGATTTTGCCTGGGAAAAGGGCATTCTGGACGGCTGCTTCAAAGCATCCTCACATTGGAAACTTCAGAAGGCAGAGATTGTGCCTAGCTCACCTCTGCCTGATCTATAGTGGGTTTGTGATGAATTCTTATCAAATGGAGAGACACCTACATCCCAGTGTGTGTGTGTATGTACGTAAGTAGGCACACACACACACACACACACGTCAACCTCTCATTCCACCTCTTCAGGTCCAGCTCTAGCCCACAGCGTTTCTGGGCAAGTTTACCATGCCTGGTTCACTGCTGCTCACAGCACGGGCTCCTTCCTAACAGGGCCCTGACAGAGGCATTTGAGGGGGGACACTTGTCCTTCCTGGGTGGTCTTGCTTCCCCTGCTCTCTGTGTGTGCAGATAGAGGCTGTTATCTCCAGATGTACTCTGTGAGAGTATGCATGTCTTCTGGGACTGGCCCTGAGGCTCTTATGTTCACAGTAAGCACATGGTGTTTATGGAGAGGCGCCAGGCTGACAAGGCCCATCTGACCATCACAGGGCAAAGAACACAGGCTTAAATAGTCCAAGCCCCCTCCTCCCAACAGGGTGCCTAGCAGCATGTCTGGTTGCTTTGTTGCAACCCTTGACCCATCTGAGGAAGTTCTCTTTAGGATTTGATTGTTCCCATTCTCCAACATAGATGGTTGAATGTGGAGCAACCTGAGGCCTGGGCCCAGAATCTGAACTGCAGCCCTGAGCAGGCTGGGGCTAGGTCTGGGAGGAGGGGGGAGTGGGGGGGGAGAGGGAGACTTTAATCTATCCAATAAGCACACCAATTGCAAGGTGGAAAGGGTGGGAGGAGAAAGATCCAGGGAAGGCTACACAGGTAATTCAAGGCCAGCTTGGAATATACAGTGAGACCCTGCCTTTGAAAAAATAGAGAAGAGAGAAAAGAAAAAGAAAAGAAAGGTCCAGAGAATCAGAGGAGTTTAGCGAGAAGGAACTTTGTATGTTTAGTGAAGCCCATGTGCTATCTTCAGGGTCCCCCCTGAAATGCTACTTCCTTCCTGTCCCCCAATTCTGGTCCCTTTTTCCCCTTACCAGTGACCTCCCTGATCCTCCCCTCCTCTTCCTCAGCTTTTTGCCCTGTACTGCAGCTATGACAATGAGTTCTACACTGATTTCAAGGAAAAAGCCTGAAGAGTTTGAAGCTAGGGGTTCACATGTCCTACCTGCTCCTATGAAAATGTTGTCACAGGGCTGGGAAGGTGGCTCAGTGGTACAGCACTTGCCTTGCATGCATGAGGCCCTGGGTTCGATTCTTCAGCACCACATAAGCAGAAAAAGCCGGAAGTGGCGCTGTGGCTCAAGTGGTAGAGGGCTAACCTTGAGCTGAAGAGCTGAGGAACAGTGCCCAGGCCCAGAGTTCAGGCCCACAACCGACAAAAAAAAAAGATAAAAGAAAAAAGCCGGAAGTGGCTCTGTGGCTCAAGTGGTAGAGCACTAGCCTTGAGGTGAAAAGCTGAGGGACAGCGCCCAGGCCCAGATCAGGCCCCATGACTGGACCCCCCCCAAAAAAAAAAAAGAAAATGTCGCATTTCAGGAAGTAATTCTGCACACATAGAGTAGAGGGCAGCAGTAGGGCCAAGGTGCCTCCCTGCCCAGCAAACCCCTTTCTACAAATACAGCCAAATGAAAAATAAAAAGAAATCATGTCATGATCTTAAGTAGCCTCAGGTCAGATTTATGTCCCAGTAAATTACCAAAAAAAGTGTTTTGTTTTGAAATGTGTTTAGCTTTCACAATTCTAGATACAGGATTTGCCCACTCTAAGAGACTAGTACCCACATGGAATTCACACCTATCCACATCCAGGAGTGCTATTTCCTTCTTCTCCTCTCCTTCTCCTTCTCCTCCTCCTCCTCCTCTCCCTCTTCCTCCTCCTCCTTCTTTCTTCTTCTTCTTCTTCTTCTTCTTCTTCTTTTTTTTTTTTGTTGGTCCTGGGGCTTGAACTCTGGTCCTAGAAGCTGTCCTTGTTGCAGACTTTTCTGCCCAGGCTAGTTTCAAATCACCATCCTCAGATCTCAGCCTCCTGAGAAGCTAGAATTACAGGTGTAAGCCACCAGCACCCAGCTGATCCTCATCTCATTATCCAGATGCCATTTTAATCACCTCCGTTCTTGGGGGTCTCTAGATGTTTGAAATATACTCCCCTATCCCTGATGTGCCCCCTCATTCTCTTCTCTTTGGGGTAGAAGGCACATAGAATGAGATTTCTTTCTCCTTTGCTTTCTCCTCTGCAGGCTGGCCACACAGCTTTGTCCATCACTATGAAATCACCCACCTCATCCGCCCATGTGGAGATTGCTGAGCTTCTGCAGGCCCACTCGGAACGGGGCAGGTCCCTGGGGCTGTAGGAGCTACAGAAGAACTGGCACCCAGAAACAAAAGTCTCCTTTTCTGGACTCTCCTTCAGCCTTGGAGAGGGCAGGGGTCATAACCACAGGGCAGCCCCTCACCAGAAGAAACTATGTCAAATATGCACATACATTCCTGTCATGTAATTCTGCTCCTTAGGATGCTTGTAGTTGTTGCCTTAGGCCTTGTTCCCAAACCACATGGGTTCCAGGAAAGGGTCCAAGGTAGGAGAGAGAGCACTGGGTCACTGGTGCCTTCCAAACTCCTAAACATCCTCAGCCTGGAATTCTTCGTGACGCTTACCCCTGCAGCGCTGTGGAGCCAGCCGGCAGAAAGGAGCACACGCATCTGCGCACAGTAGATAAGCAATACTTTTTACACGAAGTTTTAAGGTGCGCTGTCTTTTTATTTTTAATCGAGAGTATACACATAGGTCCCATTGAATATGCACGTCTGGAGAGGATTCGGGGAGGACTTACGTTGCCACCCTGGCAATCATTGTCAAGAAATCTCTAGGGAAATAAAACACCACAAAGACAGGTGAAATGACCAAGTCCTTCTTGGGGAGTTGGTTTAGATGGAGTTGACACAAACATCTTCAATCCAGACACGGTAGAAAGAAGGTATTGAAGTCAATGCCAGACATAATCTTGAACACTTCTGAGCCATCCATTGGCTCTGCTTCACTCCATGGGTATTGGCATTGATCAGGCTCTGCTTCACTCCATGGGTATTGGCATTGATCAGGAAACCCAGTCCCATGACAAACGGCACATGTATCTTGGCGGCATTTGATCATTGCAGCTATTCTTCATGTGTGAACGAAATGAATTGGAGGGAGCTTTCTCCTAAAGTTCTTGGCTTCAAGAAGCCTCTGCCTTCCCTCCATGGTACTGTATCTGTATGGGCAGGTGTCTACTCTGATGTGTCCCAGGCTCCTGACTTCCAAGCTGCTGGGCTGCACTGGAGCTGGCCAAGGCCCTCCTAGACTAACAGATGTCTCTACTGGACAACTCTTTCCTAAGCTTCTATAGTTGCTAAGGCTCACACACGCATGGCTTATATTCATAACTCGCTAATGGCAATCTAGAAATGTGGTTTTTCTCTCCTTTTTGTCCTGATATTGGGGCTCACTCTTAAAGCTGGGTGCTGTCCCTTACCTTTTTTGCTCAAGGCTGGTGTTCTACCACTTGAGCCACTTCCAGCTTTTCGGTGGCTAATTGGAAACAAAGAGTTTCACAGACTTTTCTTGCCTGGGCTGGCTTCAAATTGCGGACCTGATATGCCAGCCTCAAGTAGCTAGAATTACAGGTGTGAGCCACCAGCACCCAGCTTGTGAAAGTGTTCTTGAAAGTCTTTTATGAAAATGAATAAAATTCCCCTTGTGTTAAAAGGTTAAGACATGGAAGTTGGTGAGCCTCACACAGAAAACGCAAAGCAGTTCTCATTTGAGCCGCAATGCCCGCTGCCTGGTACCCCTTGGATGGGTCACAAAGACACCTTGGATGTCAGCTTCAGAGTCTCTAAAAGCAGAAATGATCACACAACCTACCTCCCAGGGGGGCTGCACAAGAAACTGTCGGGCGTTTGCAAGTCCAGTTTGCCACGCATAAAGACAGTCTTGAGAAATGGCATAACAAATGTCTTTACACCACTGGAATTAAAAAAAACCAGTGTCCCGGAGCAGGCTCATTGACATGTATTGCTGCTGCTCAGAGGTAAAAGAGCAAATGATGAGCTAAAGAATGCTTCCAGGGACTTTCAACCTCAAAACACACCCGAGCAAAACCCTCCATTAAGGAAGGTCCCAGCCCAGTGCTTTGTGCAAATGCCCTAGGGTCTCCGCAGCATTCAGCAGGTCAGGTCTAGGATGAGGCCTGTTCTGTACTTGTGACCAGTCCCCAGGAGGTGAAGGCAGTTGGATCACAACCACACTTCTCTTTTTAGCAAGGCGCTGGCCTGTCTTTATTATTTGTAAATTAAAACGCTGCCTCTTCACCTTCTGTATGGAAATGTCTGCATTTCTCTGCTCTTGACTCGGGAATTTGCAGCGCACATCTGTATTAGTCCATTTCTTGTTGCTCTACCAAAATACCTGAGGAAGGCTACTTATGAAGGAAAACAAGTTCATTTAGCTTAGTTTGAAAGACTGAAAATCCAGGAGACTGAGGACAGAGGGGACAGACCAGAACAGTTGAAGGTGCCAGCATGACTGCATATTCAGCATTTCTGGGGAATATGCTCTGAACGTGTGTAGCTGTTTGTCTGCTCTCTGGGACTTGAACTCAGAGCCTTGTGATCTAGCTCCAATTGCATGCTCACAGTTGATGGGCCATCACTTGAGCCAAGCCTCTAGCCCTTGGCATTGACTTCTAATCACTGACGACATGGGAAGCTGTTTTTCTCCCCTTCATCAGCCTTGACTCCAACCTGGGCCAGAGGGAAATGCCCATGACCTGGGGTGGACTTCTGGTGTGCTACAGCAGATGACAACAGTGGCCTTTCCTGTACTGCTCCTGGTCCATGTACAGTCTGGAAACAGGAACCTTGCTCCACAGCTCCCAACAGGACAGTTTTCCTGCTGCAGACATCTGGAAAATGAGCAGGCTTATGTAACAGGTGCTCCATAAATATTGAATGATGAACTCTACGAAAATCTACCCTCAAAGAAGATTGTATAAAAGAAAGATGTTTAACAGCATTTGTGGTTAAATATTAACACTGTATTATAATAATGTATCCAAATAAAATTAGGGATATGCTTAAGGCATAAAAACTGAGCAGGATTAGTGGGGGGTAGGGATTGCCCCTGTGCTTGGAAAGGTCAGGTACACACAGCCTGTAGTTGGGAGAGATGCCGACATGTCTGGCCCAGATCAGAAAACTTGATGGCATTTCCAATATGGAGGGTAATTCTGTTGGGAAGCAGGGGCTGAGTTGCCAGGAAAACTATTGGGAGGGGGCAGGTGGCCTATATCTTCTGAAGAGTCTAAAAGGCACTTTACATGAAAAAGTTCAGCATATCAACTCTCCCCCTTCCCCACCAAAAATCACAAAAAAAATTCATAAACTAGGGCTTGAACAAATGACTTGCATTCCTTCAGATTGATAACACTGAGGCCCTCTGCCATTTGAGGTACACTGCTAGTCCACTTTTTTGCTGATTAATTGGACATGTACATACTGGCTTTGAACACTAACCCTCTAGATCTCAGCTTGAGTAGTTAGGATTACTGACACAAGCCACTCCTACCCCTCCCCTTTCCCCTCCCCTCCTCTCAGTCCTGGGGATTCAACTCAGGGCCTGGTCACTCCTTGAGCTTTATTTTTCAAGGTTGGCACAGAGATCCTTAGTGATTTTGTTTGTTTGTTTTTGGTCAGTCGTGGGGCCTGAACTCTGGGCCTGAGCGCTGTCCCTCAGCTCTTCAGCTCAAGGCTAGTGCTCTACCACTTGAGCTACAGCACCACTTCCCGTTTTCTGGTGGTTTATTGGAGCTAAGAATTTCATAAGACTTTCCTGCCCGGACTGGCTTTGAACTGAGATCCTCAGATCTCAGCCTCCTGAGTAGCTAGGATTACAGGTGTGAGCCACCAGTGCCCAGCTTCCGTAGTGATTTTGTGTTGGAAGGCAGTCTTCAGTGTTCAGTTCTTCTCTCCTCCTCCACATACCTTTGACTGGCCCTTCTTCCCAGCTTAGTGCAGCTTTGTCCCTCAGCCCTGCTAATCTTCCACAGTCTCCAAGCTTGTCTGTCTCCCCTTTAATAGCCTTCTTTTCTATTTTTTTGGTCAATTGTGGGGGTTGAACTCTGGGCTTGGACCCTGTCCCTGAGCTCTTCAGCTTAAGGCCAATGCTCTAACACTTGAGTCCACAGTGCCACTTGGTTTTCTGGTGGTTTTTTGGAGTCGCAGGACATCCTGCCTGGGCTGGCTTTGAACCATGATCCTCATATCTTAGCCTCCTGAGAAGCTGACTACAGGCATGATCACTAGCTAAGCCTTCCTTTTCTTAGAACCCTCAAGGTGTAAATATTTCCATTCCTAACCCCCCCACTTCAGTACACTAAGCTTGAGAACCTGTAATCATGGAAGTAAGTACCTGCGCTCCACTGTACCCCACACCCTGCTACTGGCATGTGACCAGCATATCCTGACCTCAATAAACTCATCAATAATTCTTCACAGCCAACAGACTGGGTTCCAGCCTCAGTTAGCTTAAAACTGCACAGGGTGCTGGTGGTTCACGCCTGTAACCCTAACTACTCAAGAAACAGATCTGAAGATCACAGTTCAGTCTATCCTGTCAGGAAAGCCCATGAAACTATCCCAATAAACCACCAAAAACCAGAAGTGGATCTGTGTCAAGTGGTAGAGCAATAAGCTCAGGGACAACACTCAGGCCCTGAGTTCAAGCTCCAAGCAAAAGTTGCTGGGTGAGGCAGCAAAAGCTTATAATCCCAGTAGTTAAGAGGCTGAGGCGGGATACCAAGCCCCAATTCAAGGTACTTGCTCAAGGTCAGCCAGGACAAGACCCAAAGACAGCATTTTAGCCCACACTACAGCATGACCACCTCTGGTTCTCATAGGGTAACCCAAGCCTGTGATGGCAGAAAGCCTGACAGTGAGTAGTGAAAGGTTAAAGTTTGAGGCAGTGACCACGTGTTGCTTGTTTCAGTCTAGCAAAGCAACACGTGGTAATCAAAACACCTGGTTGATTGTGTGCCTATATAAGACCTGCAAATCCTTAGCTCGGGGCTCTCCTCCTAGGCTCCGCTGTGTCGGAGTGTGTGTCGGAGTGTAGGACGAGGCCCGAGCTGCAGCCCATTTAAGTAAAACAGCTGTAGTCTGACTCTCGGTGGTCTTCTTGGTGGGGGTCCTGCGACCTTGGCATAACAAGTAGAACTTGCCTCAGGTGTGCCTGTCTGACCAAGTCCCCAAGTAACTCAAGCCAGTGAAACAGGCTTCAGGTATAGCTTCAATGACTATCAGTTCAGTGAAAGGCCCTGAGTTCAAACCTATCAGTCATCAGTACTGTTCTAATACTGCAAAAACCAGCTGTCAGTCTTCATGAAGAACCCACCAGGCCAGGTGCTGTTGCAAGCCCGTAATCATTAGCTACTCAGGAGACTGAGATCTGAGGATCATGGTTCAAAGCCAGTCAGCCCAGGGCAGAAAAGTCCCCACAAGACGATTATCTCCAATTTCTAATTAACCACTACTCAAAAACCATAAATGGCAGTTTCTCAAAGTGATAGAGCACTAGCCTTGAGCAGAAGAACCTAGGGACAGCACCCAGTCTAACCAAAAAAAAAAAAAGGCCCCCAGGAAAGAAACACTGGCAAGCTAAGGAACCAGAACATCATAGGGAACTTGCCTAGAATTGGGACTCACAACCAGGTGTTTTGAGGCCAAAGCAGGTAATCACTTGGCAGGTGCTCATTGGAAGATAGGACAGAGTTAGCAGAAATGACAGATGGAGAAACTGGACAGAGTACTTTTTTTTTGGTCAGTCGTGGGGCCTGAACTCTGGGCCTGGGCACTGTCCCTCAGCTCTTCAGCTAAAGGCTAGCACTCTACCACTTGAGCCTCAGCCCCACTTCTGGCTTTTTCTGCTTATGTGGTGCTGAGGAATCGAACCCAGGGCCTCATGCATGCAAGGCAAGCACTCTACCACTGAGCCACCTCCTCAGCCATGTACAGAGGACTTTAAAAAAAAAAAAAACATTTGGCCAGGGAAGAGATCAATTGTCCTTATGGCAAAAGCTATATGACTCAGTCCACTTTCTAGCCCTAACAGACTGATGAATAAAAAGTCACATGTTTGGGGAGAGTTTTGATCCTTTGATGTGTCTAAGCAATAACAATGACAGAAGCAATTTGAAAAGGTTAAGAAACTTTTAATATAAGCAAATGAGGCATAAGCAAGCAAAAACAGCTTTCATAGTCACATAATGACAAAGTTTTATTTAACAGAAAAGTTTATTCCTGTGCAAGCTAGGATCTTTACCATCAAATTTTATAAATGGCTAGCATTTACCATTTATCTTGTCCAACATCTTAGCTAATAACATTTCCTCCCCTTACTCCAAAATAAGCTGTTAGCTGTCCATCCTTCTGGGCACAATGTTGAGGTCTCACTTCCCAGACATTGACTTTTTTGGATGTGTTTTGATGGGAGTAGAGGACTCATAGATTGACTAAAGTATATCCTCCAATGATTCTTTCAAAGAGGGCACAGAAGAAATAAACCTCCTAAATTCTTCAGTATCAAAAAACACTTTTGTCTTACCCTCAAAATCAAATACCAATTTGGCTGGATACCGAATTCTAGGTTCAAAGCCTTCCTCTTGCAGAACTTTAATGATATTGGTCCACTGACTTCTAGCATCTAAGGTACCCACAGACAAGTCTGCTGTCAGCCGGATTCTTGTTCCTCGATAGGTTACTTCTTTCCTCTCTCTGGAAGCCCTTATAATTCTATGTTTATCATTGGAATTCTGCAGCTTCACCAAGATGTGCCTAGGAGTAGGTCTCCTTTCATCAACTGAACTGGGTACTCGGTTAGCGCTGACAATCTCAAGACCGAAATCCTTCATTTCTGGAAAGTTTTCTTCAATAACTTCCTTTATTATGTCTTCTGCTTCATTCTCCTGGGTATCCTTTTCTGGGATTCCTATCAACCGGATGTTGGAACTTCTGAATCTGTCCTCTCTATCCCTTACCCTTTCTTTGCTGATTATGTGCTTAGCCATTTGCGTTGCATTCTTGGACAATTCCTCCACTTCATCTTCTAGATTGTGTATTTTAGTTTCAAACAAGCCTAACAGGTTATAGAGATCATCTATTGAGTTTTTAATTTCCAAGACATCTGGATGACCACTGATTATGTTTTCAACCTTCTCTTGTACCTCCCTAAACATACAGATGACACTTCTTCTGAAGTTTTCTTCTGTTTCCTGGATTAAGTTGGCATCTCTAGAGGCAAGGCGTTCTATTTGGAAGGTCTTGTGTCTCTCTTCCCTTGGAAAGGAAAGGATTCCTGGTGCAGCACTCAAGTCTGTCTGTGGATGCTGTTCAATATCACCACTACTTACTTCTAGTGGCTCTGGGGGAGGGGACAGATATAAGGTCAGGCAAGGTGTAGCTCTTTCCCCTCCTTCCTGGGTTTTGTTTTCCTCTGGGCACCTCACCAACTTTTTCTTCTCTGTGTCCCAAACCAAATAACTAAAAGCAATTTCTTTAAGTCCATAAATGTTCTCTTTTTTCTTGGGCCAGGAGGTAGTTTTCACTTTCCCTACCTCCTCTTCCTCCTCCATCTGGTGATCCATTACCAAGTCAACAAGACTAATCTCCAAGCCATCCCTGGCCATTTTCTCAGTTCCAAGCTTTGTGTTTACCACAGAAAGACTCTGAAAGGTGGAGCCCTGTTCCTCTCTTAATATAGAGGCCTCTTCTGTCTCTTCCCCCTCCTCCATTTCTGAGGCCTCTTCTCTTTCCTCCTGTCCTGAGGTTTCTTCTCCAAACTCTTCTTCCTCTATCTCTGAAGCCTCTTCCTCTTCTGTCTGTGAGGATTCTTCCTCCTCCTCGGTCCATGAAATCTCTTCTCCCTCCTCTTCTGTCTCAGAGGTTTCCTCTCCTTCCTCTTGCTCCAACCTGGAGGTTTGTGAAGACTTTTGTGTCCCTACATTCTTCACCTTTGACCCAGCAACTTTCACCTCTTTGATAAACAGGAAGCTCAAGCCATCACTTGCTGTTCCTCCAGCCTCATGCTTTGCGTCTGTTTTACCCTGAAAGTTATTCAAATTATTTAAGTTATGCAAATTATTTTAATCATTCATCTTTGACATGAATAAAACTTCCATTCCCCTTCATAAATTCAATGTGGCTAACATCTAACAATACGCAGTCAATTCTAGAAAATTATTACTTTATTCCCCTTTGGGCTTGAACTCAGACCCTCTCTCCTCTGGCCCTTTATTACTATTGGTCTTTTTTCTGGTAGGACCTTACTTTTGCCTAGGCTAGACTCATTCTGCAGTCCTCCTACCCAAGCCTCCTACATAGCTGGGATTATGGGCACATACTACTACTACTACTACTAGGCATGTTTACTTTTTTTTCTTTTGTCAGTCATGGGGATTAAACTTCTATTTGGAAGGTCTTGGGCCTGGACATGTCCCTGAGCTCTTCAGCTCAAGGCTAGTACTCTACCACTTGAGCCACAGCACCACTTCTGGTTTTCTGGTGGTTATTGGAGAAAAGAGTTTCACAGACTTTCCTGGCCCGGCTGGCTTTGAACCAGGATCCTCAGATCTCAGCCTCCTGAGTAGCTAGGATTGTGGGTGTGAGCCACCAACACCTAGCTACTAGGCATGTTTTCTTGAGATTTGTCTTACTAACGTTTTGTCTGCATTGGCTCTGAACCAAGACTTTCTTGATCTTTGTGAGTCAAGGCATCCAGCACTATTTTTAACGTCATGTGTTTTAAGGAATTCTTCTTTCTCTCAGAGATAGTCTCACCATATCAGCTAGGCTGTTTGTAAGTTAGACTAGCACTGACCTCAGCACTCCCAGTGAGATTACAAGTGTGAGCCACCATATATAACTTTAAGGATTATTTACTCTAAAAAATTGACTTAGCTGGGTATTGGTGGCTCATGCATATAACGTAAGTTATTCAGGAGGCTAAGACCTGAGGATTGCAATGTGAGGTTAGCCCAGGCAAGAAAGTCCATGAAACTCTTATCTCCAATTAAGCACAAACAAAGCCAGAAGTGGACCCCATGGCTCAAGTGGTAGAGTACCAGCCTTGATTTTTAAAAAGCCCAGGGATAGTGCCTAGGCCTTGAGTTCAAGTCCCAGGATCATCACAAATACACAAATATTTTTAAAAATGATTTAACCTTCAAACTAAGCTATACCAGCTATTTTACTCATGAGCTTACCATTTTTTCTTGAATCCCCTCTCTTTTCCCTTTTTGATTTTGTGGCAGTAAATCTTTCAGCAATCCCTTCACGAACAAATTCTGGCTGGCAAATTTCCTGAGGGTCTGAAGGTCTGAAAATCTCTGGATTTCACCATCACATTTAAAGGCCAGTTCAACCCTACACTCAAGTTTGGGCTCAAAGTCATTTTCTCTCAGGATGTCAAAGATGCGAGCCCATTGCTTACTAATGTCCAGTGTTGCAGATGAGAAGTCAGCAGCCAGGGTAAGCACAGCGCCCTCCTGGGTCATTTCTTCTTCGGAGGCCATTAGCGCTTTCTCCTTAGCCCCTAACTTTTGAAGATTTTTGTCCTCTTCCAACTGTTTGACCACTTTGTCTTTTTCATTCTTCCTATTCCCTCCTGGTGTGACTTCTGTATACATGCTGAGATTTCTATGCCCTTTATCCTTACTACATAAGACTTCTTCCACACATTCCGTGGCTTTGCGATGTTGTGATAGCTTCTCACCTTGTTCACGATTGGACTTTTTAGCTCTGTCCAACACATTAGCTTTCTTTCTTTGAAATGTTAAGTCTTCTGTTTCATCATCACTTTCAGAGTTTTCGTCTTCTGTTTCCTCCACTAATTCTTTTTTCTGTGAAGTTAAAGCTTTTACTTGATACTCTGTCCTGCTAGTAGCATTCTTTGAACTTTTGTGATCAAGTACTTCATTACCTAACATTTCCCTTAGGTCATTTTTAAGGCTTTTTCTTATGTCTTCAATCATCAAATCTCTCATTTCTTCCAAGACCTTAAACTTTTTCCTAACAGCTGCAGATGTGGCTTTGTATGTTGAATCTAGCACTGGGGATATCTCCCTGTCAGTTCCTATTAACTGCTTTTGGTGGATATAGGTGGCTTTCCCCTGTTTCTTCAAAAGTCTAGCCATTTTTTACTATGTGCTAGATACTGTGGGGGTATGTTGCCACAATGATACTTTCTTTTCCCAAAGAGTAATTTTTGTTCTTGCACACTGGCTGAACTCCAGAAATCCAAAATCTAAAATTTAAAGGGAAAAAAATTAACCACTTAATTACTGAAGAATTATTTTCCACTTAAGGCTAATCCTCAAACAATTTGAGCCACAGCACCACTTCCATTTTCTGGTGGTTTATTGGAGATAGAAGTCTCAAGCATGCTGGGGCTGGCTCTGAACCATAATCGTCCTATCTCAGACTCCTGAGTAGCTGGAATTACAGGCATGAGCCACCAATACCGGCTTGAAGAGAATTTTTTGTGTGTATATGCCCACTGTGTATTGAACACAGGATCCACATTGAACTAGGCCCTAGAGCTCATTCTTGGTTTGTTTGTTAGGTTGTTTTTTTTTCCTGCTCAAAGCTGGTGTTCTACCACTTGAGCCACATCTCTACTTTGTTTTTTCCGGTCATGGGGCTTGAACCCTGGGCTTAGGTGCTGTCACTGAGCTCTTCAGCTCAAGGCATGCACTCTATCACTTGAGCCACAGTACCACTTCTGGTTTTCTGGTGGATAATTCGAGATAAACAGCCTCAGGCTTTCCTGCACCAGCTGACTTTTAACTGGGATCCTCAGATCTTAGCTAAGATGTGAGCCACTGGCACCAGGCTCTGAAAATTTTTTGTTAGACAAACTTAAAAATGAGCTTAAGTTTCTGGAAGAAAAAAAAAAAGCTTAGTTAAGAAAACTGTGGGGGCTGGGAAGGTGACTCAGTGGTAGAATGCTTGCCTTGAATACATGAGGCCCTGGCTTCGATTCCTCAGCACCACATAAGCAGAAAAAGCTGGAAGTGGCGCTGTGGCTCTAGGGATACAGTGCTAGCCTTGAGCTGAAGAGCTGAGGGACAGCGCCCAGGCCCAGATTTCAGGCCTATGACCGATGAAGAAAGGAAAGAAAGAAAGAAAGAAAGAAAGAAAGAAAGAAAGAAAGAAAGAAAGAAAGAAAGAAAGGAAGGAAGGAAGGAAGGAAGGAAGGAAGGAAGGAAGAAGGAAGGGGAGGGAGGGAAGGGGAGGGAGGGGAAGGGGAGGGGGAGGGAGGGGGAAGAAAGAATCAATCATTTCAATAAGCTTTTCAAAAAAGCTTGGAAGAAGCACTGTGACTCAAGTGTAAGAGTATTAGCCTTGAGCAAAAAGCAGCTCAGGGACAGCCCTAGAACTATCACAATATTTCAGCTATTTGAGAGGGTGAGGTGGAGTCTAGTAGTTTGTATCCAGCTTGAGAAATATAAGAGCCTACCTCAAGAAAAATATACATTCACACACATATGCATCTATCTATCTAAACTGGAAGTGATTGGCTTGGGGCATCACTCAAGTGGTGGAGTACCTCCATAGCAAATGCATGGTCCTGAGTTCAAATCCTAATACTGCCCAGACAGAGAAAGATAAAGAGCTGGGCGCTGGTGGCTCACACTTATAATCCTAGCCACTAAGAAGGCTGAGATCTGAGTATCACAGTTCAAAGCCAGCCTGGGCAGGAAAGCCCATGAGACTCCTATCTCCAATAAATCACCAGAAAACCGAAGTGGCACAGTGGCTCAAGTGGTAGAACTCTAGCCTTGAGTTCAAGAGCTCAGGGACAGTGCCCAGGTCCAGAGTTCAAACCCGTGACAAAAAAAAAGAGAGAGAAAGGAAAGAGAGATATTAAGTACAATATCGAGACACTGAATGAAGCCCTGGATTCAATTCCTCAGTACCATATAAATAGAAAAAGCCAGAAGTGGTAGAGTGCTAGCTTTCAGCAAAAAAGAAGCCTGGAAAAAAGAGACTTGTGATTTTCCTAGTTAACTTTGCTGTTCAGGTTCAGTATATTAAAAAGCATTAAATATGGGGCTAGGAAGTTGGCTCAGTGGTAGAGCACTTGCCTTGCATGCCTGAGGCCCTGGGTTCGATTCCTGAGCACCACATAAGAAAAAAGAAAAAAGCCGGAAGTGGTGCTGTGGCTCAGTGGTAGAGCGCTAGCCTTGAGCTGAAGAGCTGAGGGACAGTGCCCAGGCCCAGAGTTCAGGCCCCACGACAGGACCAAAAACAAACAAACAAAAAAAAAGCATTAAATATGGATTACAGTAAGCATTAAGTGCACTATTCTAAATTATAAAAGTTTGAGATAGACTGGGAATGCGGCTTAGTGATAGAGTGTTGAGATAGACTGGGAATGCGGCTTAGTGAGAGTGCTTGCCTAGCATTCATGAAGCCGTGGGTTGGATTCCTCAGTACCACATACACAGAAAGAAAAAAAAAAAACAAAAAGCCAGAAATGGCACTGTGACTCAAGTGGTAGAGCATTAGTCTTGAGCACAGAGGTTCAAGGACAGTGCACAGGCCCTAAGTTCAAGCCCCTGACTGGGGGAAAAGAAAAAAATGTTTGAAATTACTTGGATGGAAATTCCCCTTTTGATTGCACAGATTAAGACTTCCCTTCCAAACCAGCTGTCAGATCAACTCCGAATATTGTTTCTCAGAGTGTAAATATGGGGCCTTGTCCTGAGTGGAACAGACGAAGTAAGGTTGAGTGGGAGGAATGTCTGAGCCCAGAAGTTCGAATCTAGCCAGCTCAACATAGAGAACAATGCAGAGACCATCCTCAGATGTTTGCTCTCCCTCAAAACCAAGAAGAATAAAAAGCAAGTTTGATGTGCAATTAACTCAGGAATAAGACAAATAGGTCTGTGGCTCAAATTTAGATTCTGTTCCGCACAAAAAAATCAACTTGAGGCTAGTTCACTCAGGGACAGCACCCCAGTCCAAGCACTGGCACCAAAAGACAACAAAAGGCCAACACAGGCAGCAAATATATACTCAACCCAAACCAGAGATTACTAAAACATCTTGGAGAACTGAGCTGTAACTCAATGGAAAACTTTGTGCTTAGCATGCCCAATGTCCTAGATATAATCTCAGCGTGCACATGTGTGTGCTGTGTGCACTTACACACATAAACATAAAACTAAAATAAGACTAACAACCAGAACCTCCTTATGGTTTTACTTAAGCAAGAGCTAGCTGGGCACAGGAGGTGAACCCTTCAGACTATATGAGTGAGACTCAAACATAAAAAACAAAAATACAAAGCTGGCACTAGCTCAGCAGTACTGTGCCTGCCTAGCTAGTATCAGACTGAATTCAAACTCCCCCAATCCTGTGAAAAAGAAACAATGGGGGCAGGGAAGGTGGCTCAGTGGTAGAGTGCTTGCCCATGAGGCCCTGGGTTCCGATTCCTAAGCACCACATAAGCACAAAAAGCCAGAAGTGGCACTGTGGCTCAAGTGATAGAATGCTAGCCTTGAGCTGAAGAGCTGAGGGACAGTGCCCAGGCAGAGTTCAAGCCCCACAACCAGCAAAAAAACAAACAATGAAAAAGAAACAATGTGCCAGGTGCTAGTGGATGACACTTGTGATCCTAGCTACTCAGGAAACATCCAAGGATGAAGGTTCAATTCAAAACCAGCCCAGGCAGACATGAGACTTGTCTCCCAATTAACCAAAAACCAAACTAAAACAAAACAGAAACAAGCTCACCACTCCACCCCAACAACAACACAGAGATGGATGGCTCATGGTAGAGTACCAATCTTGGGCGGTTAAAGCCAAGAAATAATGAATGAGAGGCCCGGTATCAGCACACACAAAAGACATAGACATACTTAGAAGATGTAAGGTAGGGCTGGGAAGGTGGCTCAGTGGTAAGAGTGGTAAGAGTGCTTGCCTTGTATGCCTTGTATGCATGAGGCCCTGGGTTCGATTCCTCAGCACCACATAAGCAAAAAGAGAAAAGCCGGAAGTGCGCTGTGGCTTAAGTGGTAGAGCGCTAGCCTTGAGCTGAAGAGCTGAGGGACAGCGCCCAGGCCCAGAGTTCAGGCCCCACGACCGGACCCAAAAAAAAGAAAGATTATTATAAGATTTATTAGAGGGGCTATATATCCCCCTGGAAAGGGAGCAATATGGCATCTACTTCCACCCAGGTGGGTAGCTCTGGGGCAAGTGGTGGGGGCAGGTAGGTCTATGGGGGAAGAAAGGGAGGGGCCAGCTATTTGGCGGGAACTCTAGGGCACGGAGGAGCTCAGGTCTGGGTGGAGCTGAGGACCTCTCGTGGGGACAATGCTAACAGAAACGTTTGGAGGAACCTGTTTCTAAACAAAATTTGAGTCTACTGGGAGAGATGATCTGTGATTTGGGGTTTTACTTTGGAACCATCTAAAGGGAGTGTCTATGAAATACTGAAGCTGAGATTATGGTTTAATTGGTCTGGACAACAACATAAGGGCCTGGATTTCCCTTCCTACCTCCCCTCTCCCCATTTTTTGTGGTATTAGCATTTGAACTCAGGGCCTTGGTCTAGCTAATAGCAAAGGCTCCCTGGGTGATCCTAACGTATATTTAAAGTGAGAGGCCACGAAGGGCCACACTGTGGTGATGATGGTGGTGATGGTGGTGGTAGTGGTGAAGATCTAGCTATTATTCCATCCTGGTCTTTGCACGTGCCAGCTGGATGATATTGGGCAAGCTACTTCTCTTTGAATCTGTTGCTCAAATTGGACAAGTATATGTGTGGCAATGAGCTAAAACTAACAGCTAATAGAGAAGGGCAACTGCTGAGTAACTGCAGCTCTCTAGGAAGCATTAAAACTGTTGCTGCTGCTTTTTAGTGGTTCTTGGAGATCCAACCCAGGGCTTGGCAATTGTTGGACAAGCACTCTACTACTTGAGTCACACTTCCAATCTTTACTGTGTCTTTTGGAGACAGG